GTTTTCTTGGCATAATAATTCTCCCCATTCTCTTTTTCTACAATTTGTTGAGAAAAGCTGGGCATGCTGTATTAGGTAATAAGAACTGGGGTAAATAGTTTGTTAATTTTAGAATTTATGGTAATCTAGCCAGAAATTAGACTTTTTAATGTTTGCTGTAACTATAGATGCCAGAAGCTTCAAATTCCTCTGGCATCTTTGTTTTTGTCTCCCTTCTTAACTTTTGGCTTCCCTAGGTATTCCTCCTCAAAAAGAGTTGTGTTGTACAGCTCTTTCAGCTATAATCCCCTGTTATAATACCAGAGCCCTGCTGATGTGATGGTAAGCCATGGCAGATAAGGAGCATTCTATACTCTTCTAATTAAATCTCTATGTTTTATTGGTCCTGTGTCTTTTACAGTTTTTCTCCAGTGGTAAAGACATTTTTTCCCTCTCTTGCCTCCACTCATATCCCTGACTGCCCCAATCCCAATCTATTTTCTTAAAGCCTTGACCCTTGTTGACTATGTCTTTCCTCCTTACATGAGACAGGAAGACTGGAGGGAGCCTCAGTGGGAAGAATGTCCTTCCCCCAGTTGGGACAAAGTTCTGAAAGATTTGTTCACCATGGAGCATAGGCCATTGTTAGGGAGAGGTCTCTGGGTATATTTCCCATTGGGATATTTCTGGGTATATTTCTCACTCTTCCTCTTCTCTTCCAGAGATACCAAGGGATCTTCCTTCACTCTTCACTGTGAGAAACTGCTGAGGTCCCTGAAAACACAGTCTGTGAAAGTGTAGGGGCCACCTAAGACTGTGATTCCCAGGAGTTGCTCATTCGAGTCCATATTCAGCCTCCAACAATTTATCAAAATCACTGTGTAAAGGTTCCTTCTACTTTATGGCTTGAGTGCCTTCTGCTTCAGGCAAGAAGCTCTTGGCTATGTTTCTCTGGATGAACCTGTCTCCCCAGATTTTGGGGAGAAGGATTGCCCTATAATCTCAGTTCTCTGACGTGTCCAAGAAGAGTCATTGATTTTCAGTTTTCCAGCTTCTTCTTCTTGTAAGGATGAGGGTGATGACTCAGGCTGTTAACATGTCAGAATGAAAACTGGAAATCACATTTATATATTTTCATCCAACAACTACAAGATACACTTTCATTTCTAGTACACATGGAAGATAGACCATGGCAGTACATTTAAAGGATTGAAATAATACAGAGTATTTTCTACGATCAAAATAGAATTAAGTTAGAAATCAATAATAAAATTGATACATGAAAAATCTACAAGTATTTGGAAACTAACATTAACTTCTGAATAACCCATAAATCAAAGGAGAATCAAAGGGAAATTAGAAAACGTTCAAACTAAATTAAAAGGACACTACAACATATCAAAATGCGTGGAATAAAATAAAAGTACGGCAAAGGGAGTGTATTAGTTAACTATTATTGTATAATAACTTTGCCAAAAATACAGTTATTTAAAACAATATATAGTTATTATCTCACAGTTTCTGTGGGTCAGCAGTCTGGGCATGACATAGCTGGCCTCTGCTCCAGGGTGTCACAAGGCAGCAATTAAGGTGTTAGCCATGGCTGCTGTCTCAGCAAAAGATTTGACTGGAGAGGAATTTACTTCCAAACTCATGCAGTTTTTAGCAGGATTCAGGTCCTTCCCATAAAGAAAACTAAAGGCCCAGATGGTTTGCCTGGTAAATTATATCTTTAAAGGGGAAATAACGCCAATCTTACATAAGGTCTTTCAGAAAATGGATGAGAAAACAATACTTCCCAACTTTGTTGTGAAGCCAGAATAACCCCAAAACCAGAATTGGCAAGTACATTACAAGAGAAGAAATAACAGACCATTTTCCCTAATTACTACAGAGGGAGAAGTAAGTTTTAGCAAAATGTTAACAATATAACTCTAGCAATGTGCACATAGGGTAATACAGCACAACCTAGTGGAGTTTATCCGAGGGATTCAAGGTCACTTTAATGTAAAAGTATAATTTGTCGCGAGGTGTGGTGGCTCACACCTGTAATCCCAGCACTTTGGGAGGCTGAGGCAGGAGGGTTGCTTGAGCCCAGGAGTTTGAGATCAGCCAGGGCAACATAGGGAGACCCCATTTCTACAAATAATTTAAAAATTAGTTGAGCATGGTGGCACACACCTGTAGTCTCAGCTACTCAGGAGGATGAGGCAGGAGGAACACTTGAGCCAAGGAGTTCAAGGCTGCAGTGAGCCATGATCTCACTATTGCACTCCAGCCTGGGTGACAGACCAAGACTCTGTCTTGAAAAAAAAAAACAAAATAGTTCATCACATTAACAGAATAAAGGAGAATTATCATGTAACCTTCTTCATAGATATAGAACAATAATTTAACAAAATTCAACTCCTTTGTAGTAAAATCTCTCAGGAAATATAAATAGAAGGAAACTTTAATAATCTGACATGAAAACTCTATGGCTACAAAAGACTTAATAGCGAAATTTTGGATACTATCTTTCTAAGTTCAGAAACAACAAAAAACAATTTGTTCTTATCACTCGCATTCAGCATCACACTGAAAGTCTCAGCCAATACTACAACATGGCAAGAGAATAAAATAAAATGGATAAATATTGGGAAAGAATAAGTAAAACTCTTTATTCACAAATGATATGATTATGTACATAGAAAATGCAAAAGAATCTACAAACCTCTGCTAGCTCTCACAAGTGAAGTCAACAACACACAATTGGAAGGTAACATTTTTAAAATGCTGAATAGTAGCATCAAGAAACATAAAGTACCTAGGAATAAATTTAATGATAGATATACATGTTTGCTAGACTGACAACTATAAAACATTGATGAGAGAAAGAAAATCTAAATAAATGGAGAGCCATACCATTTTCACAGATTGAAAGATTCAATATTGTGAATATATCAATTATCCCTTGTATTCATTTCTTAAGGTTGTTTAACAATTTACCAAAAGTTTAGTCAGTTGAAATAATACAAACTCCTTATTTTATAGCTCTGTAGATCAAGGAGTCAGATGTGGGTCTCACTGGGCTAACATAAAGGTGTCAAGACTCTATTCCTTCTGGAGACTCTGGGGAAGAATCCATTTCCTTGTCTTTTCTATCTTCTAGAGGCCACCCACTCTCCTTGGCTCATGACCTCTTCCTCCATTTTGAAATGTCAACAACAGCATGTCAAGTTTTTTTTGTGTTGCATCTTTCTGACCTCCTTTTCTGCACCCCTTTTCCATAGTTAAGGACTGCTGTGATCACACTGGCCCCATCCAGATTAAGCCGGGATAGCCTCCCTATTTTAAGGTTAATTGGGTGGCAAACTTTAACTACATCTGCAACCTTAATTTCCCTTTGCCACATAGCCTAACGTATTTACAAGTTCCAAGGATTAGAATATGAACGTCTTTGGCAGGCGATGAGGGGAAGGGAAAAAATTATTCTGCCTGCCATTTTCCTCAAATGATCTGTAAATTCAATACAATTCCAACAAAATACTGACATGCCGTTTTGTAGACATTGACATGCTGATACTCAAATGTATAATGAATACTAAACAACTTAGAACACTTGACCCTTGTGCAACATGAGGGCTAGGGGCACCAACTCCCACGCACTTAAAAATTTGCATATAACTTTTGACTCTCCAAAAATTTAACTACTAACTGGAAGCCTTACTGATAACAGTCAATTAACACTTATTTTGTTTGTTATATGTACTATAACAAACTGAATTCTTAAAATAAAGTAAGCTAGAGAAAAAATGCTATTAAGAAAATCATAAGGAAGAGGTAATACATTTACAGTGCACATGGTATTTATTGATACTGTAAGTTTGCATTTTCTGTTTACAAGATCGATTGTCTGTCTGAAATAGTGGGTGACCATAGCTGCAGACCTCAATCTATGGTACATATCAAGCAGTTCAGCTTTTTCTTGTAGTGTCATAATTTTTCTCTGCTTCTTGGGAGTGCTTCCAGCATCACTAGTGGCACTTTGTATGGTGTTACTCAAGGTCTGCGCTGTTGCACTAAACTCATTGAAAAATACGCAAGAACTGAGAGAAATCACTTTCCACTGCAATATGCAATACACTAAAGAGACAAACTGCTCATGTGGAAATGATTAGCATCATGTGACATTTTAAGCGGATACTTGCAACATTTGAGCTCATGGAAACAGCAACAGGCAGTAGCTATGAAATTATGACAGTAGTACAATATGTACAACAGTGAATTTTATGTAGTTGTGATTCAATGCTGCATCTTTACATTTGTATACATTTCTCTGGACTGTGAGCGGCACCATCTATGATCTATAAATGCTTATATGCATAAGTTTTAATAAATTCTAACTTTCTATAAAATATCTATATATATTTTATGGTAGTAAAGGACAAAACAGCTTAGTATCTACATATGTTTTATGCATTCATGACATATCTAACTTTTTCTTAATTTTGGGGGCATTTCTAGGCTACGCAGTTCTTCTGTAAGTTTTTTCAAATTGTTGCAAATCACCAAAAAAAATTTCAATATATTTATTGAAAACGAATTCATGTTTAGGTGTACCTGTGCAGTTTAAATCCATGTTGTTCAAGCATCAAAGGTCCTAAACAATCTTGAGAAGGATAACCAAATCTGGCAGGCATACACTACCTGATTGCAATATTGTCAATAAAGCCACAGTGATAAAGAGAATGTAGTACTGGTATCAGAATAGACTAATGGATCAATAACAAATGGTGCTGGAACATTTGGATATCCATACGGGAAAAAGAAGGACCGTGATGAATACTTCACATTCCCAAAAGTTAACTCAATATGGATTGCACACTTAAATTTAAAAGCTACATTATAAAGTCCCTAGATGAAGACACAGGAAAATCTCTTTGTGACCTTGTGATAGGCAAAGTTGTTGTAAAATATGAAAAGACCTAATTCTAAAGGAAAAAATTTGATAAGCTAATAAACTGGAAAAAATTTTTAAATTCTGCTTATCGAAAGACACTATAAAGAAAATGAAATCTGAATAAACTTGGGGAAAATATTTGCAATACATGTATCTAACCATCGCGAGTGCATGTTGCATCTCCAAGACCCCTCTCTACGACTACAGGATTATGCAATGAACTGCTTAGAAAATTGTTGGCTGACAGCTCTCAGTTGACAGCCCTCTTCAAGAATTGCCTAGGTTGAAGATGTTACACCTCCTTTTGGGGGTAGTCCACCTCTAATGTCTTATTGACTCAAGAGTGTAAATGTTTGGTCCTACACTGCAACTTAGGAAAATTCTGAAGGCCCACCAGGTTCAGAATTTCCTATGTTGTGACTACACAGGTGGCCAGTTTCTCCCTTTAAAAATCTTCCTTCTTCCTACAGATGTTGATCCCAAGAGCACTCCCTAATACTTCTCATACATTTCCCTCTCCATCTGCTTCCTGAGAAACCCATTCTGACAAGCATTGGCAAAAGACTTGTGTCCCTGATAGATAAATTACTCCTACAAATCAATAATTTTAAAATAAAACAACCAAAGTTTTAAAAATGGGCAAAATACTTAAATAAATACTTCACAATAAGGGATATACAAATGGTTAATAAAACTCATGAAAAGATTGTCAATATTATTAATCACCAAGGAAACGCAAATCAAAACTACAATGAGAATACCCAAACATCCATTAGAATAACTGAAAAATAAAAGTGTTAACAATACCAAGTGTGGGAGACAACATGGAGCAACTGGATCTTTCATACATGGCTAATTGAATTGTGAATTGATGCAATCACTTTGGAAAGCTACTTGAATGTTTTACAATCTTCACAATATAGCTACCTCATAATCCATCAATTCCACACTTAGATATTTACCTACAAGAAATGAAAACATATATCCACAAAAAGATTTAAACAAGGATGTTCATTACTGCTTCATTCATTAATTTAAAAATAACCAAATTAACCATCAACAAAAGGATAGATAAAGTAGTTGTGGCATTTTCATACAAATGGAATACCACATAGCAATAAAAAGAAGGAACTACTAGTAGATGCAATAACATGAATGAATCTCAAAAACACTCTATTGAGTGAAAGATGCTAGACCCCCCAATATGACATACTGTGTGTTCAATAATAGGCAAAATTAACATATGAAGGTAGAAATCAGAGCAGTGATTGTCTGAGGAGGAGGGGCTATAGACCTTGAAGAGAACTTTCCAGGGTAAGAATTTTCTAGGGTGATGGCAACGTTCTATAACTTGGTTGGAATATTGATTTAGAGGGTCATATATTTGTCAAAATTCATCAAACTGTACACTTGAGATCTGTGCACTTTACTATCAGAGGGAAGATATTATTTGACAAAAGAATGTAAACAGAAAACTGCTAATAAAACATCAGTAAAACAGGAGAATACTGATGGGAGACATTCAGAGAAATATGCTCTGTTTCTTGGCCAGTTCCAAGGCTGGCTCCTAACATATCTGCTTTCCCTGGAGAGCCTGATAATAGATACTTGCTATGAAATTCAAGCACACATGAAAATTCAGAATATGTTCATCTTTATCAACAGTAACAGTTTTGAGGGCAAAACATGCAGTAAAGTGTAGCACTGCACTTAGAAGTGCCATATCCAGCCGCAAAATGCAGGGTTAAAGCCCAGCTCTGCCTCCGTTTATGAGATCTAGACAAGTTAGTTATCCTCTCAGCTGTAAAATGGGGATAATGATAATAATTGCATCCACTTAGTGGGGCCACCTTGAGGATTAAATGACTTAACACATGCAAACTTCCTAAAAAGTGTTTGCCGTAGAATAAGTGCTTGATAACTATTAATATCGTATGAATTCTAAAGTGTATCCTCATGCATGGATTTGCTTTTGTGCAAGTTTAAAGATATCCAAGCAGAAAAGGATACATAGATCTTTGAAAACTTGAATCTGTTTGTATATTCCTCTGAAAATGTCACTGGTACCGTTGTGGCAACCCAGCAGTGATGGTTTCTATTCAGGGAAGAGGCAGTTCTGAATTCAATAAGGTTTTTTGCAGGGAATCAAGAGGCTGTGGGTTCTGGTCAAGGTTTCACTGTAGTGTCTACCAAAGTGGGGTAGTAAAGGATCTATTGTGGCTAAAATCATTTCTTCCCACACCAGTGATTACAAAGTTAATAGCTACAGTTAATCGGCTGTAGCTGCAACCGTGGCTGCTTGTTTTCTTCAAATTATATAAACTACAACCAGCCAGAATACTAGTGAAATATTGAATAGTACATTTGCTTTTATTGGTTTATCCTTTATTCAATCAAAGTCTGTGAACATCTTCATTCCACTTCAGATTTTAGCAAAGATATCCATGAATTAGACCTCAAAATAACTACATTTCTACAAACTAAATTGAGTTAGCCAGCTTATATTACCAGCAAGTTTTTTAGTCTGAAATAAATATATGGTACCATCCCAAAAATCTGATGTACTCTCTTGAAAAAATTTGAATTTCCTAGTAGTATACAGCAATCCAGAGATGTTACTTACTGAAATAGATGCTGCTGTGTAATGTATCTTATTGAATCAGAATTATTTCCTAGTTGATTATCGGATGCATAAATCCAACCAAAATTATCACCTATCAACCCGAAAACATTAAACTTACAAAGCCAAATGGATCAGCTGGCAAATCATAAATATGGCCATGGCATCCGAGTACACATCAGCACTCTGTTGTCTTGAGTCTGGACTTGGGGGAAACGTTAACTCTTTCAGGTGCCCAGTAGAGTAGGGCAGCTGCATTCTCCTAGAAACAACTCCATATAATTAGGTTTAGGAAGCCAAACTGCCCTTCACATCTGAAAAGGCACCCTTCCAAGCAGTACATGGCAAAAAGTCTCCTTCAGTTTTCCTGTCCTCTCTCCCCAGGAGCCAGTGACCTTCAGAACTGTAGACAAAGCAGCTTTTGGTGCATTTAAAACAAACAAATAGCACAGGAAGGTGACCCAGTGTGATCAAGAGAATATTAGGCAGTTCTCACTGATTATAAGAATGTAAAGTTGAAACCTCATTAATATGCTGTTCCTGCTTTCCTCCTGAGAGAAAGTCGAATTTGGGGTTACCAGAAGGCAGAGCCATTTCAGGGTGAAGCAAAGTGGGCTTTTGCTTCATTTTGTTTTTGTTTTAGTTTTATAGTGGCTTGTCGAGTCCTCTATCATTCCTCTCCTCTTTATGCCCTATTGTGATTTTCTTTGTCCTGTAAATAACACAGAGAGAGTAATGAAACATCTTACATATTTCTAGACACTTCTTTCAAATATGTTATTTTCCTCATAAGCATTCTCATATCTATCAGATCATGTTTCCTGCTTTTTAATTTGAAAACCAAGGTCACCAAGATGCCCATGATGAAACACTGCCCCATTCTATACTGAGTGTCTGTCTCCATTCTCTTATCATTAAGCGTAGCAGACATTTTGCTACGTTGGTATTCTCTGCCATTGTCTGCATGTTAGTTAACATTCTTTTGGTTCCAAGTGTTAGAAACAGTCTCTGGCTAAGTTAAGTTAAAAAGGTAACTTACTGAAAGGACGCTGAGGCAGCTCCCAATCTGAGGATGAGGGGAACAGCCAAGTCTGCTGGCTGAAACCTCAGCAGCAGGAATCTGTGGACTTTCTCTCTAGTGTGCTGCCTTTGACGTGCATCAGCCCTGAGTAATCCCATCTTTGTGAGTTTTGGTTCAAAATTCCAAATTGGAGATTCCAGAGAGAATCTGATTTGCTCAGTTCAGTTCAGGTGTTCACTGCTGTGTCAATCAGCTAGTGACAGAGGTGAAAGCCCCTCAATAAGACATGACTGCTGTGGATCTCTCCTTTGCCTATCTGGGGCAGGTCCCCTTCAAGGAAAGTGACATCAACAGGCATTTAAGGTCAGCAACCCCTCTTTGTATATTGCTTTGAACAGAACCACGCCTGCGAAGCATTTCTTTAATACTTTGCCATAATACTTCCAACAATGGTTAGGGGTATCGTCTCTTCATTCCAAAAGAAAGGCACGTTTTTAAGTCTAAATGTTTCCATGGCTTTGAAAACATCATTTGGCTCATCTTAACATGGTCAAGATGAGAGTGCTGGGCTAACAATGGGTTACAATAGACCTACTGAGCATGCCTGACCAAGTTTTGAAAAAGAAAACTTCTATAATCAAGTAAGATACATCCACCTACCAAAAGACATAATTTAGGGTGGAAGAAAGAAGGGGTCTTTTAAAATGCCAACCAGTTAGTTTATGACCTCTATCAGTGCTGCAGTGATGGAAAAGGAAGGTGTCAAAAAAGTAAAATAGCTGATTTACTATCTACAAAAGATTAACTGCTTTGCTAGGCCTGGGTGATTATGGAAGTAGAGGCGAGTGAAATGTTCCCGTTGGAGACACACTGATGAAAGGGGGCTGGGTGAGCAGATTGCCCAGCTCATTTTTATTGTGAGGAAAAAGTTGCCATCCATCATGATTGAACTCATCATTCTAGGGAAGTGTTTGGAAATCCAGATTGTTTAAGGTTCATTTTCACAAACTGAGATAAACAAATTATTCTAGGACTAAATAATAAACAAATTTCTACTTTCTGCCTAAGTGAAGGATATCACTGACCATCAGTCTCCTTTGAGGATTTATTCAAGTCACCCTTTTTGGAGCAGGTGACACCAACATGCCCAGGAGGCTATAGTTTGATAAAGGCAAGCCTCAGTAGAGTTGATATGGCCAAACTGTGGGTCAAACCCAGGAAACGAGATGTTGGCCAGGACTGGAGGCAAGCCAGTTTCAGAGCCAGAGTTACCTTTTCTGGGCTATCTGTCTGAACCCTGGGAGAGGCCATCTGGGAGTCGCAGCTTCTTCTGGTTGGAAGCAAGAGGTTGAGAATCGGCATCTGGGACAAGACCACCGTTCAACCCTCCCAACCAAGCCTAAGCCCAGAGCCAGAGCATGAGGCACTGAGCATAGGACAGTGTCTTCATACGTTCAGAACCCAAGGCCATTGACTGGAATAATCTGAGGAAGTCATAAATATGTAGCTAAATTTTAGCACATGTCAAAATAAAAACTAATAAGCAATGTTTTTCTACAGTCATGAAAAAGAAAATCACATTCTTTATTAGTGTGCTGTCAAAACCTGTCAGTCTCATCTGGTTTCTAAGCATATAAGATACAGAATCTATTTTCCAACATCATATCCATCTTTCTTTTACCAATGACCCGGAGCATGACTTCATGTAATGGATTAGCCTTGCTCATGTTTACCCTGTACTCCTCAGGCCTCTGAAAAATATTCTATCCTGATAAGCTTGTATTAGGGTAGTGCTTCTAAACCCTATCAGACCTTTTTAGAACACATATTATATAATACCTTCTTTATTATCTTGAGATTAAAATCACAGATGGTATATCTTACCTTCAAACATAATGTTTTAAAAATCAATATAATGCCATAACTGTAATTTAAATAAGAAATAAAAGGAACATAATGTATAATAAAACAACATATATCAATATGGAGAAGCTCAGACATGACTTCATTAGAAGATAGAAAGAAGAAGTCAGATGTTTGTGCCTATATGTAGAATTACTATGATTGCAACAGCTAAAAATGCCAACAGACAGAGGTGCAGTGTTGGCAGCTCAAGTGCCCCAAGCAATATCGTTGCCAGTGATACAGTTTTCTGAAGTGGCTAACAACTCTTGGTTAAGTTCCCAACAAAGCCAAGTATAATCTTCCCTCCACTCACATGGTAGTTGCACTCGTGGAAAATTCAGTATACATTTAAACTGTACCCAAAATAGTCGGTGTTTATATGAAAATCGAGTTAGGCTTTAAGCTTAGATAACTGCAAACAGGTTTTTCACCTACACTGCTGTCTTCTGGGACATTTAAAAGTCATGGCAATCGTGCATCAATTATTCACTGTGCAAGATCACCCCGCACATTGCAGTTCATAGAGAATCCTTGACACTTACCTAACTAATGGCAATTACAGCCCTCAAACACTGTGAGAATCAAAATGTCTCCCCCATATTTCCAAATGACCCTTGGGGAAGGTGTATCCCTGAGAGCCACTGTATTAGGGCATCTTACTACAACTCAAAATACAAGGATCATTTAATTAGCCCTTTTTGCAGTATGAAGATACTATATTGTTGAAAACCAAAGTCATGCACCAACCTATACAGGCCAGGCCTACCAGGTTTTAATCAAAAGCTCAGGATGGAAAGTGTTCACACCTTTTAGGTTACCTCATCCACTGGAGAGATTACAAACATGGTATTAAATCCTAATCTGCCCTATACCTGTGACCTTCTAGAATACTATGTGTCTGCAGAATAGACATTTAATATTAACTATCTGTGACTTATATATAATCTAAGTGTTAAGCCCTTTTCTAATGTATCTTACATTTTCTCACAGGAATTCATATAAGACAATGGACTGGTGAACTACTCTCAGGCAGTAGAACCATATCCTAATCAAGAACATTTGCTGCCTCCAGGCAAGGGGTCTTGGCAACACATGCCTAGTTAAATCTCAGAATTGCTATGACCCAGTGACTTCTCTTTGCCTCCTCTCTATAAATGAGAGTGTTGGTTTGGCTCATCCTTTCCCTGTATCACATTGAAGGAAGGTATTTATAAGTGGGGAGAGGGGATGGCGATAGCTTGTCTTTTTTGTTTATGGGTTTCCAGATCAAGAGGCGTTGCACTTGAAGAGTGAAACCTCATCTGCAGTTGGACCTGATTTGGAGAATAAAATCATGGCCATCAAGTCTGCTGCCATAATAAGATGAGATTTTTTTATGGACCTGAAAAGACTGTAGTAGATTTGCAAGGGAAAAGAAAAGAAAAGCCACAATTTCTTTGAATTTCCTCCCATTGCTATTTGGTCCTGTGACCTGCATTTGTCAATTGGACATTAGCAAATGTGATGCAAAGAGACATTTGAAAAACATGCACATTGGGGTTCAGAATTGTTGCTTAGAAACTATGTAAGCAAGCTTGAACTAGCCTTTTAGAGGAAAAGAAGATGTGGAAGCAGGCCACGGCCACCCATCCCGCCCAAAAGCGGATTGCAACCACATGAGTAAGCCTGGGTCAGACCAGCAGAACTGCCCAAAGGGCCAACTTACAGAATCATGAGCCAATCAATGATTGTTTTAATCAGTACGTTTTGGGGATTGGTTTATTTTATACATCCAACATTCACACATAAAGTTTTCAATCTTGCTAAGTTATCGGTTTCTGAAACTGCTTGAGAAAAAAGTAACTGCATGGTCCAGTACACCTACCTGACATTTTTAGGCAGTTTCTCTCACTTTAATTTTACCTTTGGCTTATGAAATCTTATATAATGGATCAGTTGTGCTCCATAAAAGCCTTGGAATTTTATCAAATTGCATGTTGTTAGTTGACCCCTGTGCATCTCTCTCCATTATCCTGGCCCACTGTGAGGTACGTGCGATTAAATGTCATTAACCAACCAGAACTAAAGAAGCTTCATAAATAGACGTGCTAACCTTTGACCAAATGCAGTTCATAAACTCTTTCAGGAAATAAATGCTGGAGATTTCTTATGGCATTTCTGTTTCTGAGTTAAATTGAGACTATGTGGAGTGGAAAGGGTACTAAACTGGAGTTAAAAGGCCTAGCTTCTTGTTTAGATCCTTCCTTCTCCTTACTGGGAGATCTTGGAGTTCTTTAACCTCACTAAGCCTTGGTTTTCTCATCTGCTAATGGAAATGATGAAGCTTTCCCTGCCTACCCTCACAGGGTAGATGTGATGAATACATAAAGTAAATCCTTTGTTTACACATGTCAGCATCAGGTACTGTCTGGCCCATAGAGACCTTGCTTTTAAGTATTTTTAATGATACTATTTCAGCTATACACAGTACTGTAGGAGGAAAGTCGTAGTGGCAGTGCTTACTGGAGAGAAGAGAACCCAGTCTGAAATGCTGTCAATGAAAAGCCATCCAGGTCTTGGTGCTGACTGTTAAGAAGGGGCCTGGACCCTCCTGATGGCTGGCCTCTGACCATGCTGTGGAAAGCCTTTGTAGCATGCGTGGCATTGACTCTTTAGATCAGGACTGAAATCCCCATTGCTATGCCTGCAAGATGCACCTCTGCCAGAACGATCCCTGTGCTCCTTACCTACACACCCCTAATAGTTGTGGGAGCCAGAGGACAAATGAAAATCCATATGCCTGATATCTAAATATTTAAAAGGATCAAGGAATCTAACAGAGCACTTAAATAAAATATATTATATTCTCATATCTTGACAAATACACTTCACGCTGACCTTGAAGGCTAGTTTTGAATTTAGAACTCCTCAGACTTCTCAGAGTCCCTTTCCAGTATATGGCAGGCCTTTCTTTTCCATCCCACAGTATGAGGGCATCAAGATCTCATGTGTGGACACCCCTGTCGCCGTGTCCAAGCTCCATCCACACTCCCCACAAATGTCTGTTGTTTTGGCCACCGATCAGGTTGAGGAGTACATTGGGGGAGCCTGGTCCACACTCAGAAGGACAGACCTGTGCAGAGGCTCATGCAAGAACTGAAAATTGGCTCAGGACCATTTGGGCAGAGACTTCCAGGGTCTTGGCTACTGGGGCATGGTCTGGAAGGGGAGGCATCCAGTGGCCAGTTTCCCTAGGTCCTGCAGATTCCTCAGCTGTTACTGGAAACCCTGAGGCCTCTAGTTTTCAGGTCCACTACTCCTCTCTGTCCAACTTCAAAAGCAAGCCATGACCCGAGAAGAGAATGGACTGGCAACCAAGGGTGACATTAAAAGATATTTTTAACTAGCATTGCATGAGTACCATCCAATCATCCAACCATTCTACCACCAAAAATAGACACAGATGATGAGAAATTGCTATGGCCATAGTTCTACTTAGAACTGGCATTGCTCTACATCTGACATTTATCCTTGGCCTTCTCCCTCTCCCTGCTACCTTGGCAAAGTCCACACAACTGATATTCTGCCTCGGTTGACTTCCTGGGCTGGAACCCTTTCCTGATCCTTAGTGTCTTTGACTGGGGCAGGCTCTGATACTCTTCCAAGTTCTTCCCATCTCCTTTCCCCAGGGTGCTAAATCAGGAAGATGATCTTGATGCATAATGTCATTACCTGCCTATGATAAAACTGCTGCCTGGATCCCACTGCTACCCCCTACCCACTAGCAGGGGGATCATGGAATGCTGGCGTTATTCTCCCCTTTATCCTATGGGCACTGGACAGCTGTTGAGCCATATAGATTGAGTTTGACAAGATGCAAACACAGAGCAATAAGGAACAAGGGTGTGACAAGCAGGATCCTGTACTTCTGGTATCTGCGCTATTTCCAGCCTTGCTGATCCCTGGCTTCAGGTTCTGTGACCAGAGGCTCTTCTTCATCCCATGCCTCCAGCATGGAATTTCTGCATCTGGCGTCTCCTGCTCCACTCTCTTTACAGCCCAGTTGTCTCACCTGATTTGCTCTTTCCACTCCTCACTTCTAGCAGAAGCTGTTTCCTGACTTCCTTTTGGTCTGTGCTCCAGCACTGTCTCTCTCAGAGTACCTGGCTAGTCATCTCCCCCCGCAAGCTCAGTTGGCATTCCTGACACCCTCCATGGGGAAAACAGGCCCTTTTGTCCCAGGAAGTGTCACATAGACACCCTGGCCCTGGGTAGAAGTTCAAACAGAGGCCCACATACCATACGTCTAAATATTTTAAAGTTATACATTAAGCCAACCAACTGTTAAATAAAACATGTCCTATTCTCCTACTTTGACAAATATACCTTCACAATGTCCTCGAGATCCAGATGGAAATTTTAATTTCTGGTACTCCTCAGAGTTTTATGCCAGAACATAGAGACAGTGAGAACCAGCCCCTAGTCTTTGGCCCCACCTTGCTGCACAACCCCCTTTTCTTTCTGACCTGGCTTTGCCCCACATGGTGAGGGCTTTGAAAGGACAAGTGTGCACTTCCCAGCCTTCACAGCCAAACTCCACCCACATTCCCTGAAGAGAGCTGATCCTGGCCACCCTGTCCTCAGAGTGACCAGCCCTGGAAGTGGGCCTGAGGCTACCAGGACAGGGAATTCTGGGGTCTTGGGTACCTGGAATGTGGTCTCAAAAGGAGGATGTTGGCTTTGCGGTGGGGATGCTCCCTCAAGCTTCAGGCCCAGGGCAGGAGCTCCTCTTCCCTTGGCCTAAGGGCTGTTCTGAGAGAGAAGAAGAAATTTGGGTTTAGATGAGTCAAGTTGGAGGAGCTGGTGAGAAACCCATGTCAAGACGTCCTGCAGGCCTTGGGAAATGTCCATGTAAAGTTTGACCAAAGAACTACACACAGTAGAAACCTGAACATCATTGAGCTGGAGAAATGGGATTGCATGGGCTTTCCCATGCCAGCTGATAATGGTATAGAAGCAGCACAGCTTCTCAGTGCCTGAAATCACTGCTCCTCACAATGCAAAGGTTGTTGCCTCTCCCTGTTTTGGTAAGGATGTTTTAGTGAGATGTGGCTTTCCAGGGGTCATTAAGGACATGTGGAGGTGCCTAAGGTAGAGGTTGTATATAAGATAGATTAGGGATGACAGTGAGTGCCAAAAGATATGGCTTATAGTGGCAGTTCAGGCTGCAATTATTATGCTACAATCTCTAAGGATCCAGGCTCCCTGTATCTGAATAATAGTATTTTCCATCTATTCTGAATAATAGTTTCCACCTCACTGTTCAAGGTAGTTGCTCAAGCTCCAGTCATCACTTCCACATTCCAGCCAGCAGGAAAGAAGAACGAAGTATACACCTCTCCCTTGTTAAAAGAAAAACTTTAGTCAAATTAAATTTAAAAGAATTTAATTGAGCAAAGAACAATTTCTGAATTTGGCAGACTCCTGAGCCGGAGTAGGCTCAGAGACTCCACTGCAGTGCAGCCACATGGTAGGAGAAGACTTATGGACAAAAAAAGGAAAGTGATATACAGAAAACAGAAGTACAGAAACAGCCAGATTGGTTACCGCTCAGAGTTTGCCTTATTTGAACATGGTTTGAACAGCTGGCCACCTTTGATTGACCAAAACTTGGTGATTGGCACAAGAGTAGGTTACATTCTGTTTACAACTTTGTTTAGATTACAGTTCACGATGTACAGAGAAACTTTTAGGCTGAACTTAAAATATGTAAGGAGGTACCTTTAGGCTAACCTTGATTTAATACCTCTTAAGGCTATTTCTCAGAAATTTTACATGGCAGTTCTACTTTCATCTCATTGTCTAGAACTTAGATACATGACCACATCCAACCAGAAGAGGCTGAGAAATATAGATTTTATTTCAGCCAACCAGAATCCGCCCCCCACATTGCCAGCTAAAAATTAGGGTTTCTATTACTAAAGAAGTAGATAATGGGAACTTAGGGACAGTTATCTGACTTTGCCACAGGTTGGAAGAGCAGAGATGACAGAAAGAATTGCCTTAGCAACATGCTGTTTTGCTTCTGATGCTCTGAAGTCCTTGGTGGTATGGTCATCTTTAGGTCCTGGTCCTTCCACTGCTATTAGGAGAGTGTGGTCAAAGCCTCCCAGCTCCCCTAGAACCATTTCTTTTTGGGTAAAGCTTGGAACATCAGGATACTATCTAGATGCTGGGTGAGAGTCACGTCTTAATTTGTCCTTGCACAGCTCATCAAAGGCTATTTCTCTCTTTGAATAAGCTGTAGCTGTAGCCGTTATTATGCCCGGAAAGGCTGTGAAGTTTCCACGGATCAGCAGTTTTGGTAGTTGACTCTGCCTGATCAGATGTAGAGCAAATCATAAACTATTCAACATGTAAACACTGGAGGATGTGCTCTGCATGGGTAATGTACATGAAGTTTGGTTTGGCTCAGTGGCTCCTGTGAGGGCTTTAACCCAGCTGGGTGGAAGTGTGGTTCTAAAGCCTCCCAGCCCAATATGGCGAAGTTGGGGAGGGAGAGGATGTTGAATTGATGGGGGAAAGCAGACAAATAAGGAGAAAGGGGTCTGTTTTTCATAGAGGAGTCTTCCCTATGAGATTCTGTTCTCTTCCTTCCTGAAGCCCCTCAAACTCAAGGACTTCTGTGGAGCCCACTGAGGAAAGTCTTTGGAATGCTATCACACAACAGTCTAGAGAAGAAAAGATGGTATTACAAATCCCTTGAAGAGGCAGCAAAGGCACCTGTTACCACTCACTGGAGGCCCAGGAAGGGAGAACACCATTCTGGCAAATGCATGAGATTTGGAGTCAGGTAGATCCAGGCTAAAATTCTGCATCTGCTATTTACTAGTTATGTAGTTTTAAACATATTAACTTTCTGAGCCTCAATTTGCCTACCTGTAAAATTAAAGGGGGGAGAAAACTACCTCACAGGATTGCTGTGAGGCTTACGTAAGATCATATGCATAAAATCCTAGTTCAACTCCGGCCCTTCAGGTACACAAGCTATAATTTCCTTCCATCTCCTCTGCTGGGAACACTGAATCACAAGTAGGACCTCCCATTAAAACCTTATATCTAAGAATCCTTGCCCACCCCGAGTCCCATTCTCTACTTTCCCTTCTCTTGCTATTCCTGACTCTCTTGGTAGAACCCTACCCTTATCCAATTCTGTTCTCAGCAGTTATAGGATGTCCTTTAACAGCCGCTTGACCGTCGTCAATTTCCCCCTTCCCCAGAGAGACTTATGGAGGAAGTCTTCAATTTCTCCTACCACAAAAAACTGCTTGCTAGCTAAATGATACCTCAGCCCAGACGACCTGGGCTTGGCCAGTCCAGGATGTCAGTCCATCCACAGTTGTAGATACATGCCATCCTCAAGCCTCATTGTCCTCTGAGCCCGAGGGCCCTCTGGACCACTCCGTGAAAGTCTAAACGACTGAATTGAAAATGACCAAAATCTTCTCCTGGATCAGAAAACGATGGGGGAGTTAAATGGAGAGACCTGAACTTTCCTTCTTGGCTGTGGCTTCTGTTTACAGCTCAAACCCTCTCATTCCCTTCTCATCAGTCTCTTGGTCAATAACATCAGCAGGGACAGAGCAACCTGGCCGTGCTGAGTTCAGTTAACATTGAAGCCTGGCAGTGGCAGAAAGAAATCTTGCTTCCTCAGTAAGACAAATGTGGTAAGACCTACATTTGCCTATCTTCTTCTTCCTCCCACCAGAGCAGGAGGTGCCCCCAAAGGCAACCTCTGCTTGGGCTCAAGTCTCAGTCCTTCATGCTGTCTCCCTAATTATACCTTCTCCTTTGTCATTTTCAGTGCTTCCCTCTGGACTGAATCATTCCCAACATCAAATGCAAACATACTTTATTAGTTCCCATTTAGGAAAACAGCAAAACAGAAATAAGGACCCTCTCCTGACCCCACAGTGCCCTCCAACCACTATCCCATTTCTCAAGGCCTCTTAGAAGGACTGTGAGCACACTGTCTCCACCTTCTCACTCCTGTTCACTCCACAGCACAATCCAAACCAGCTTCCATTCCCTTTGCTCTGCTGAAATTGTTCTAGTCAAGACCTCTAACCATCTCCATACTGACAATCCAGGGAATTCCTTCTGTCTTCATAGTGCGTGACATGGCACTGGCTGTCAGTGAAACTGGCCACCCTTTCCTTCTTTCAACCTTTCCCTCTCATAGCTTCCATGGCTTCACTGTCTCCTGGTTTTCTTCCCACTCACTATCACCCTCTCTCCAGCTCCTTTGACAGTAGACCCACTTCTACCCAGCGCCTAAAAACTGGAGCTGCTCACTGTTCAGCTCAGAGCCTTATTTTCTTTTTTTTGCACTCAATCAGGGGCCAGATATATCTCATCCATTCTCATGGGTTTAGAAATCTTAGAACATTATGTATATGTTGATCATTTCTCAATTCATAAGTAATCCTCAAACTCCTCTTCTGAGATTCAGACTCATCTGCCACTAGAATTCTCCGCTGGATGGCTCACAGGTATTTTCAAATGGCCAAAATGGAACTTTTGATGTCCTTGAGCCATGTTTCTTCCTCACTCTTCCTCATCCAAGGAAAAGGCATTCCAATTCTACCCAGTTAGTTGCTTAAACCAATAATCCCTGATGAATGCAAGTGCCACCGGGAAGAGATCTTTGTTAGTATTCACTGTTGATACATCCCCAACAACTGGAACAGTGACTAACACGTAGTAGGCACTCAATATTTATTTGTTGAACAGAAGATTCCCTTAATTTTCTTCAAGTCCCACATCTGTTCCATCAGCGAGTCTGATTATACACTGCCAGCTACCCACGCTCTTCATCTTCATGGCTGTCATGCTGATCACCTCACCTGAATGTCTGAAATAGCCTTTCTTTTTGTCTTGTTGCTTCCACTCTTGCTCCTTGCCAACCAGTTCTGTTACAGCATCGTTTTAAGCAAACCAATGACATAATCTGATGTCTTTAGTCTTCTTTAGTCTTTAGTTTTCCCATCAGGTTTAAAAGGACATCCAAACTCCATTTCTTGCCCTTCAGAGCCTTTACTGGCCATGGTCTAACCCTTAAACCTCATCTCATGACCCTTCCCAACCTTCTCATGAAGTTTTAGTCATTGGTCTTCCATGGATTCCAGAGATTTTCCAGTCTCTTTCTGCCTCAGGGCCTTTGTGCCTGCTACAGCTTCTGCCCAGAGTGTTTTTCCCTTTGCTTGCTGTGTGGAGGATTCTTCCTAAGTCTTTAGGCCTTAAAAGTCACTTCCTCAGGAGACCTCACTGACTTCCCTACCTAAAATGACCCACCTTGGTATTTTTTATTATATCATCCAATTTTTAATATTGCATAAAATCTATCATTATTTAAATGATTAAATGTATTTAAATGTTTATCATCTCTCTCCACTTTTCTCCCTACTCCCCCCTCACTAATGTAAACTCCATGAAGTCAGGGACGGTGGCCGTCTTGTTTGCCATCATATCTTGCTAAGTCTGGTATGTAGAAGTGGCTCTATACTTACTGAATAATGAATGAATGGCTCATATGCTCTCCACATATGAAGCAGTATGTGGATTCTTGAGATGTCTGGGCCTACCTTCACAGTCATTTGAATGTTAAGTAACTCAGATATCAGCAGAGGTACCCATTCTTTGATATTTACATATAGTTGAGAAGAACTCCCTTTCCTGAAAAAGTACAATGCCCTCCTCAGGATGTTTGTGAATTCCTGGGGTCTTAAATTCTCAAGAGCACTTGTGGTTTT